GGGCAGGTCTGACGACCGCTGTTTGCTTATCATTTAATTTGTTTCTGTTCTCAGCGCGAGAATTTGAGTGTCACTAAGATACTAATATCTTCTGCGGGACGTCGAAGAAGCGCGCTTTTGTCTGACCCATCTCTCTTGGTACATTTGCTTCCATATTCGTCTGCTGCCTGTATGATTCTAAAAGTACACCTCACTGATTTTTCTACCATATTTCCCTTACTGATGGTGATCTTTAACTGTGAATTTTGTAAGTTCGTTAAAATCCCAAGGTTTTGGATCTTTGTTTTGCTAACACATTCATTCATCAAATTTTTTTTTGCGCGATTTTCAGATCAGCAAATTAATGAAATTCACAAGCAGCATGGTTATGTTGCGGATCCAAGCAAGGAAAGAATAGGGCCAGGTCCAGTTCCGCCGCCACCACCTCAGACATTACCTCCCACTTCCACGGCAACAACAACGGCGGCAACCACCACAACAGCCGCAACACAACCGACCACTACGACTCCTAGTACCACCACGTCGGCTACAACAACTCCGGCTGCACCTGTTCCGAAGCCACCGATACCTGCTCCACCACGAGCTCCGGTACCAGCGCCGCAGACTGCACCACCAACTCTTCCACCAGCACAGCCCGTTCGACCACCAGTCATTCCTCATTTGCCTCTCCGACCACCTCCACCAGGGTAAGTGCCCTGGTTCACCACACTCGGCTTTTCTGTGTTGTTTTGTAACTTAGTACTGTACAGTGAAAACATTCTTTTTTTGGAGTGATACGGGGGTCTTCTCTTCTTACATAACGTCCCTGTTAGTAAAATTACTAACTGAAACTTCAGATTATTGTATTAATCAAACTGGTAGCACACAGAGGAAGTTGTTGAAAAAGACAATAATTTGTCATATACATCTCAGGAAGGGCTTGTAATGGTGTTTTGCAATCTGCAAAGCCTCTTGCTGGATGCTCTAATTTGCAGCCATTTTAGAACTACCTTTGACATTCCCGAGAACCTTGATAAATTTTAATGAATTTTTATATTAATACATGAGATAGAGGAAGTTAACCATTCGAGAGTTAAAGAAATAATACGAAGATTGTTTTAGATTTCCGGCGATGCCATTCCCAGGCGCACCACCAATGCCGCCAATGCCACCGATTCCGATGCCTGCTATGAGAGTTAGTGCTTGCATTTCGGTTTTGCTTATGCATATTTTTTAAAATTTAGCCGATTCCAGTACTTTTTTTTTGAACGAAAATATAAGTTAGGCTTTTTTTGCGTCATTTTTATGGGAATTATTTTTGTTATTTTATTTTCGTGAATCATACTACCTCGTGCATTTCAGCCCCCAATGGCTGTACCAATTATACCAGTTCCTGTAATTCCGCCACAGCCACCAATCCCTCCAGTCCGACCACCGGCTGTCCCAGTGCCACCAGTATCTGCTGCTCAGCCAACTGTACCGACCTCAGCCGCCCCCACCACACCAGCAACAACTGAAGCTAGCGCCACACCAGTACCGGCAGCAGCATCTGCTGCTGCTGCTGCTGCTGCTGACGATGGTCCGCCAGCAGCCAAGAAAGCTCGAACCGAAGACGATCTGGAGAGTGAGGAGGCATGGTTGTCCAAGGTAAATTTCATACAGTTTGTGCTACGAGACGAGAGTGCTAGAGAGAATGGCTAGGATGGAGAGGCTGGAATATCTGAGGTCGGCTTGTAGCTGCCTTTTTGTAGTTCAACTGATAAATCGATCATGCAAAAGGAAAGTGAGAAAGGAGATTCATTAGGCAACGTTTTCGTTCATATACGCTCATGCGTAGTCTCAGTTTTCCCATCATGTTTGTGAGGAAAAAGCCTTTAAAATCCTCAACTTTATCCCGATGCTATGTTGAAATTTCAGACATTTCCTAAAGAAGGCATTTCATCTGACGAGTTAATAAATGTCAAAAAGTCTTTCATGCTTCATTTTCAATCCAAAAAAAAATTAGCAATGATTCAACAGTATTTTGCACTGAACAGGTGCTTTTTAAGGTGACTGGCTCGATCACTGTGTATGTGCAAATACCGGGAACTTCACCGAATCCCGAATGGAAGCTTGATGGAAGACGTTTGAGTGTTACAATGGACATTGCTGCTCCGGCAAGTTTTCAGCCTACTTTTCCAGTCAAATTCATCCAATTTTTAACAAATGTTTTGACTTAATTTATCAAAAACCGTCATTTTCGTTTTCATTATCTTTCTGACTTTTCTAAAATGATTTTAGATCGGCACACTAAAGAATTTCGTGCAAGACGAGACTGGTCTGCCTGGTTCCAAGCAAAAACTGCTTTATGATGTAAGTTGCTCAGTTGTTTCATATCATCGTACAACAATACCATTCATAAAAGATTAGCATGCTTTTTACCCCAGAGGCACTTGTAAAATTAATTAAAATAATTGCTTTGTTCAGGATGCCACAGACTTGATAAGCCAGCAGGAATAAGAAAGTTGTGTGCTGGTAGTGTAGCAGATGTACCCGAAAAGAATAAACGTGATGTCAGTATAACTATAAAGGCTTCGTAGTGGGTTTCTGGAGCGTAGAACTTGGCACCATCGTGATAAAAACGGCTAGTCGAGCGATTTAACAGTGGTGAAGATGAGCAGTTCGATTTCCTCTTGGATCCTATTACTGACCGGAGGGGCTTCGTTTGTGACTTGAAATAAATTCCTAAAACAGTTTTTGGACCCATGACACCCCGTTTTTGTCGTTTTACGAAAGTTACAAGTATCTACGAAAGTTATATTAATTTTTTTTAGGGATTATTCCTGAAAGACGCCTGCACTTTGGCGTACTACAATATGAATACTGACGCCGTAGTGCAGCTGCAGATCAAGGAAAGAGGCGGAAAGAAAAAGTAGTTCCTCTGTTTATGATACGAAAAACTGTTTTTGAATATCGTTTATCTCTTTTGATTCTTTTTTATCATGATTTACTTCAGTTAACTGTCAATATAGTTCTCCAAACAAGAATTATGCAATTGATGTTTTGAGAGAATTCCGAACCAATCTGGGAGGGACGAAATGCATGGAAGGTTCGAGGAAAGTTTGGGATTTCTCATTCGGATCATTCATGAGTTTTGACTCTCTGTTAATAGGGGGAGGAGAAGACTTGTTTCCTTAAATATCTTTTTTAAATCCTCTTAATTACAATTATGTTTTTGACCTAAGCTAATGTATTATTTGTTCGGCGGATACTAAGGAAGGACAGGAAATTTGGAATTGGTTACTTAAAGAATAAATGGCAACGCGCACCAGACTAGCCGGTGCGATCATGCGTTTTGTGCAATTCAGCCC